TTATCCATGTTAGTATCGTAGGTTAGCCCAGGGGCGCAGCTAGTGCGGCTCTCATGATCTCCTCCACGCACACACACACACACACGCACGCACGCACGCACGCACGCACGCACACACGCACGCACACACACACACACACACACACACACACACAACCGCCGCACGCACACGCGCACGCACGCACGCGCACGCACACGACACGACACGCCACGCACGCGCGTAAGCTGAAACCAGTGCCGCAAATCAAAATGTCCGATCGTCATTCTTACTCGTATTCGTCTGAAAATGCGGCTTGAAATAAATGAGCGCTTCGAGGGCACCGTATACCTCGCTTAATCGATCCCCCCCAAGTACGGCTGAAGGGTCGTTGTCGTATCAAGTACTGACAGATATACCTCCGAAGCACGGATAGTAAGCACAACTGTACCAAGACCCACCTTATCTCTCAGCAATATAGTACGCGCTCTGCGTTACATAAACGTCCCTGTCCCGCGCAGCTTAGGAAACCTACCGATACGCAAGTACGAGAATGTCGTAAACTCTTCAAACAAGAGAACAAAACGCCATTTGTAAATTTGTTGTTAATAAACCGTCTAGATAAGTTAAGTTTTCTAATGTACTCAATAAAAAAACATATTTACTCATTAATAGTAACATATAAATCACTATAGATTGCAATCTTTATGCAAATGTGTTAATTTTCATCTTACTCTGGTCGGGCGTAGAGCTGCCGAGTTTGGTTTAGTTAGGAAATGATAATACGATTTTCGCATCCTATCGTCCGCGTAACGCAAGTATTAACAGGTACAGATATCAAGCTAGAGGGGCCTATACGCAATACTTTTTGTAGCTACTTTGCTGTTATAGTTCGTGGACCGATTAGTAGCAGCTGACGTCAGGTTTTTGGTATATAATTTAGGATTGCTACAAGTCATCGGAGCTTGACATCTTGCCAAATCCACGCCAATCATTGGGCCGCTAAATCTTCCTATTTATGCCGTTTCCGGCTTACAAAACAATAACCAGTGACTGAACGAAACTACCCGGCCGGTACATTTATGAGTCGGCAGGCGGTACGTAGTAGAAACAACATTGGTCTAGAGTACACTTGTGTAATACATATATGTACCCTCGTACATATTCTGTAGTACGCATGCCTATACACAAGCGAACCCATCGCCCAAGGCGCTGTCAAACTAATCTCGTCTCCCCTTAGCGCCCCCCCCCCTCGTTCCTCCGGCAGAGTAGTACCGTCGAGCCTGCACTCGCTATGCATCTAATTGCCGCTTTTATACTGCGCACGACTTTAGCCCGCTTCTGAAAGAAACTTTAGCCGGATAAGTCGTTGGTTTATACTGGCATCTAAGAGCGACTTAGACGGCGAGCTAAAAGTCGAGACATGCCTTTTATACTCGACGGTAGCTCGGCGTCTGAAGCGGCACCTGAACGCACTCCCTTGGAGCGGGATAACTTTTAGCATGGCTAAGTAGTATCGACCTTTTAAGCAGGAGGGGTATCGGCCGCTTCAGGTCGCGGGACACCTAAGCGGAATTAAACCCCCAGTATAAATAGGGTATACAATACGACATAACGGCATATACGCCTCTTATACACGATTGTCATAGAGGAAACTCCTAATACAAATATTTGTTGTATATTGTTGTGCGCATCATAAGGAGTTTAGGAGGCGCTATTATGAAGCACAAGCATGAATTCAAAGCTGCTAAAGGGAGCGCCGAGTGACTGCCAATATTGTCATAGGAAAGAATCTTCCTATGATCAAATAGTGTCGTCAAGGATAGCGTATATGCGTATGTCGTATTCATAGATGGCAAGCAAAACAGGCGGCAGCGTTTGCGTAGCGGGATGGAAGAGGATACTAGCGCGTCACGACAATGATGAAGGGTTGTTGGTGTGGGTTTGATGTGAGCGCTTTACTGCGCTGGGAACAGTGGGTTTCTCGTGCTATCTCGTTTCACAGCGGCTGGTGTTGTAACATGCCTAACCTATGTGCCGTAGAGAGTAGGTAGTAACACGCACATTTCTCACGCCCGCGACACACGCCACACACACACACGGTGGCTATCACGCACGTCACTTTCTTGTGGCACTGGATGCGACGACACACACAGCACGGTGAGAGTTAGAAAGAGAGAGAGTAGATAGAAAGAAACTGTGAGAGGAGAGGGAGGGCGGGAGGAGGAAGGAAGGGGGTTAAGGGAGGGGGAGACATACGGTAATGGGAAGAGAGAGAGAGAGAAGAAAGAGAAGCGCGAGCGAAAGCGCAAGAACGAGTAGATTGAGAAGACGAGAGAGCGTGGGGGAGAGTAAGAGAGAAAAAGAGAAAGAGATAAAGAAAGAGAGAGAAAGAAAGAAAGAACGAGAGAGAGGAGCGAAAGCAAAAACGAGAGATTGAGAGCGAGCGGAAGGGAAGAAAGACGCGTGTGAAGAAAGAAAAGAGAGAGAGAGAATAATATCTTGAAGAGAGAGAGAGAGTAGATATATATATATATATAGTATATATAGAGCAGAAGAGGAGAGAGAGAGAGAGAGAGAGAGTAGAAGAGAGAAGAGATGAGGCGCGAGAGAGCGAGAGAACAAAGAGAAGAGAGATAGAGATAGAGATAGTAGATAGAGACTATTGAGAGAGAGAGAGAGAACAGAGAGCGAGAGAGAGGGGGGAAGAAAGAGAGCGAGAGAAAGAGAGAGAAAGAGCGAGAGAGAGATGAAGAGAGAAAGAGCGAGAGAAGAGTGAGAGCGAAGAAGGGCGAGACGAGAGAGAGAGAGATATAGAGAGAACTGGAGAGAGAGAAAGAAAGCAAGAGCGAGAGAGAGAGAGAAGCAGAGAGAGAGAGAGATAAGAATAGAGAAAGAGAACAGAAGAAGAGATAGAGAGAGAGAGAGAGAGAAAGAAGAGAAAGAGAAAAGACAACACAGAGAGTAGATGAGAGAGAAGAGAGAGAAGAGAGAAAGAGAGAGAGAGAGGGAGAGAGGGCGAGAGAAAGAAGGAGAAGAGGAGAGAGAGAACGAGGAGAGGAAAGAGAGAGAGAGAGAGAAGAGAGAGACGAGAGAGAGAGAGAGAGAGATAGAGAGAGGAGAGAAGAGAGAGAGAGAGAAGAAAGAGAAGAGAAAATAGAGAGAGAGAAAGAGAGAGCAGAGAGAGAGAGAGAAAAAGAATAGAGAGAGAGAGAGAGAGAAAAGAACGGCCTTATTCGCCCGAGCAGCGAATCAGCTGACTATTCAATTTGTCGAAACTCCGGATGTCAAGTCTTTAAAACAGCGGATAAAGACTTCCCTCAGGCACAATAACATTCACGAAAAAAACTCCGCCATCGTAGTGAGAAAACCTGACGAGATGTCGTCTGCGTTCGCTCTCCAATCACACGTCAATCACATCGCCGATAAAAAAAAATATCGGAACAAAAATAAACTTAATCAACGTTGTGAAACGGTGCGGTGAATTTTCACGGAAGAAGCCGATTACGCTTCGGAAATGAATTCTGTCTCGGTAATTACGACGGCCATCTTGCCGTGAATCTTTCAGTTAACGAAATGACCTTTATCACACACACACGACGGGCACTACACGCCACCACACACACACACACACAACACGCACACACACACACACCACACACACACACACACACTCCACAGCACACACAC